TGGGTGTTCTGAAACACTCATGCAATCATCACGACTTGCCTTTTCTGAGCATGTGTCCCGCCATGCTCAATAACCTGGAGATCCTCAAGATCCGCCTTCTTCGAGTGGGTGTTCCGGTAGAACGTATATTCAAAAAAATCCTTTACTACTTCCGGAAGTAGCTTTCCAACGGGCGTTCCAACTTGTGGAAAAACAAATCCACAGACCTTCTTACGAGCGTCCCACTTCGTCACTAAAGGTTTGCAGTAATCTTTCCACCGGGCGTCCCACACCATGGCAAAGATAGTCTTCTAGTGGGCATCTGACACCACTGTTCACCAACGAGCGTCCCACTTCGTGGCATACTTATCTTCCTTCAGGCGTCCCACTCCGCGGAAGATTTTTCTTCGTTGTCGTCCAATCACTGAATAATCATTCCACCGGGCGTCCCACACCGTGGCAATGATTACATGACTTAACCGTCTTGAACCACTTTTTCCACGGGCGTCCCACCACAGGTTTGATACCTGTTATGATTGCAGCAAAAATGATTATACTAAGACAACACGGCAATCATACTACACTGCAGGAAACTATTATCACTTTTGAAAGGCAACGTAACGAAGAAAAAAAAACAAACGCGCAAAGCAAAACAAAATGTCTTCTCAGGAACATTGACAATGCACACTTTTTTTTGTTGGTATCATTCCATTCCACTCGCGGTTCGCGGTTCGCGCTTCACACTTTCTCATAGACCAGACGAAAATTTTACGAATATACACGTGGGACTTTACGACTAGCCTTTCTTTTAAATAACACTTCAATTTCCACTTCTTAGCCCTCTCAAACCGTTGGGTGATTCTAATGGAAATGGTTCAATTTATTTTAGCACTGAATAGTAGCTAAAACCTGGCAGGATCGCCAATGTGAGGTTTGGACCGTATCCCACCGGAATCACCCAACCCTTTTGGAGAGCAGGCACAACCTACCTATTCAACTTCACTGCGACGAAAGAGGACGAACGAGATGCTTGCTGATTGAAGCGTCGTTGGGTTGTCAGATTAAAGAGGATGAATAGATTCATCCTGTTCATCCAGTTGACAGCTCGTCGAGGGGTTCATCAATGGATATTGCACTATGACTGAATGGTAATCCATTCAGTCAATTGTGCACCTCACAACAACAACAACGAAAGGCTGCATGCAAGCAGCAAGCTGCAGAGCTTATATGAGCAACCATAGAGAAGGAGGAAGAAGTCCCACCGCTAGGCTAGGATCGGAATCAGTAGCTCAGGTTTACTCAACCATCAATACAAAATGGTCCTTTTCAGGACCACCATAAATTAGTTAAGAGTATTATTTGGACATTTGTCAAGGTCATCAGCTCCCGCAAGCAGCTATCAAGGCTCAACCTGGTCTCTATATAAGGTGTGGAATTGTAGGCTCGAATGTATTGGTGAGATTAATCATCGTCCGACCATTTTCCAGAACGCGCTTGTATGAAGTGTTAAAAATCCATATAGAATTTGAGAGAAGTGGGAATCATTCGCTTTGGGTGTATATTCAATCCCCAGAAAACCAATAAAATCAAATTTGTGAGAAAATTAGCTCTCACGAGTTCAATCTCTCGAAGTCCATCCTTTTTTACTTTTTGCACAAACGATACTTTCCGCCCCGCCCCATTCATGTAATTCGGAAGGAAATCCTGTGAGGGGTGAATTGAATACACTTTAATACCAAAATACTCAAGTTGACAGTCCCTTTGATTCTCTTCATCAACTTTCTCTTTGAAATAAATACTTCCGTTCGTGCCCCTAGGCACAGACCCTTCTACTTTTTGCTGTACTCACAGCTGAGTAAAATCAGTTTACTCACACAATGCGTTCCTGCACTTTTGCCAAATCTGAGTGAACGAAACTCAAATTTGGGTTACTGTTATTGGCCATGTACAATTTCACAAATGGTTTAACCTACTTTATTTCAAAATGGGTGAAATTGTACCCATTAATGGGCTCTTTCCAGTTACAGTATTGAGAATATTTCCGATTTGCACCGTCGGGGTTAACCTCAATCTGATGACAGTTCAGTGGTACTGTTTACGTGGACTTAGTCGATTTTTTCTTGGGTGGATTTTCTCGATAATTTTTCAGACTGCAGTGAGATGTAAACCACACTTCTGCAATGTCCACGAGCAACATCCTTGCAACGCGCTGTTCCTCGAAAATTTTCAAGTTAAAATTCAGAAATTTTAGAATTTTTTTTTTTCGAAAAAACGACTAAGTGCTTGTAAACAGTACCACTGAACTGTCAAAAAGGTTCAGCCGATTAACACTGAGTTCATTTATGACGTCACGCTGCAGTACCTAATAGAAGGAGAGTCACTTCTTCAGAGGGGTACACTGATAAATTGAAGTATTCCCATTTTGCTTGAAATTTAATCAATTTGACATTAAACTCAGTTTAATCATATCGAATGATTAAAAATTAATCCTCTCTTTCTAAAAAATAAGCATCTGATATTAATCCCAGTTTAATCATGGTTGATTAGATTGTAGATTATCTTTTCTTGAATAAATTTTAATCATTTTTGATTCTATTTTAATAATTTTTTATTGAATTTTAATCCTGATGAATGTGGGATACCTGTATAATGAGAGAGAGAAGGATTAGTATTTTCCATTTAATTCCACTACTTTATTTGCTTATCCTTGACAGATACGCGTATTTCGTCTACAATGTGCAGACTTCTTCAGTGTCTTGTACTAATACTCGACTCGAGTATTAGTACAAGACACTGAAGAAGTCTGCACATTGTAGACGAAATACGCGTATCTGTCAAGGATAAGCAAATAAAGTAGTGGAATTAAATGGAAAATACTAATCCTTCTCTCTCTGAATTTTAATCTTTTTTGCTTATATATCAGTATTGAAAAAGAATTAAATTTAATACCGGAAAGATTACTTCGAATTTAATCATGCATGACTAGTGCCGAAGTAATCATGACTCGGACTCAATAAGGTGAAGCGGGAAACTGCATACTTTTTAAGCTTTTTTGATTTAATTTATCTTTGAGTGTATGGAGAAATTTCTAAAAACTAAACACTCAAAAATATTTCTAAACAGAGAAAGATTAAAATTGAATCATCTTCGCATTTCAAGCTTATTGCCTATCGCATATTAGCTTATTGCGTGCTCTCACAACTTAGTGTTCTAGAAGGACTTCCACATTTGTTAATACAGGCATAACATGCGCCCTTTACACGCAAACCAAAGTACGCCCACGCAAACCAACAACATCATCGGATAGGGGCGACTATAACCACAGACAAACAGACATAACTCTTACAAGAAAATTCTTCAAGAAATATCGTCAAGCGTATTTTGCATGCGCAATAGCACCAACACTAGCACCATCTATCATCCACATTATAGTCGCTATATTTATAGTCTGGCGAATAGAATTTCGGCCTGTAGACTTGAAGACATACTTCAAGTATCCGCGTACATCGTACGGGTTAGGCAAAAGGTGTGCGTTTGACTTTATACTGTCGCAGTAATGGCCCTTCGCTCATTTTCAACTTCTATTCAATTTTCATACTGCCGTACTCTAACGGAACTATCCACCAACCCTCTTCTCAAGATCATTCTTTAGCTAATAAATTATCACAATAAAGCTTCATGTTAGCATTTCCAACCAATTGTCCAGGTTGTCAAAGCGGATTTTTAAGTGGGACGTCGCCGTTAGTAGCGCTTAAGTCAAATAGGAATCTTTACATTAGTTTTTAGAGAAATTTTGTTCGAGCCTCAACGTCTGAAGAGGAATATATTTTCACCTTTCCTGATTAATTTATCCACCGCAGGTGCTTGAAATCATCAACCACGTGGAATATTTTGTTTTCCGTATCGGGTTTGCAGTGATCCGGCTAGTGCTTCCATATATTTTTGATGAGAAAAATTAAGATTTATAAAATTATCTCAGCGGTTATGATCTTCCGGATTTTTAATGTGTGGGTATTTCAGCTATACGCCTTTTTAATGCACCATCAACGTAGAGTGCGCCACGCGATTTCGAGAAGAAACGTCAACCAAACCATTTGTTTACATCAGAATAACTATTTTTCACAACGCAAATTAAAGCATTTTTCATTCAACATCTTGCCAATTTCTATCGGTAATTGTCTTATTGTACGATTTTCCACACATCTGAACTGATTTGTACCTTAACTATCCACACACAAGAAATCCGGAAGATCATAACCACTAAGGCACTGTTCTAATTTTCCATTTTTCGCAACAAAAATATTCCTGTACACCAGCAGGATCTTTGCAAAAACGTTACAGAATTGAATTTTTCAACTGTAGATTAAGTTTTGGAGCATCTCAGATGAATCAATTTATCAGGAAAAGTAAAAAAGTGTTCCGCTTCTTATGTCTCAAGGCAAAAATGTATGCTCACAATACTCTTTTTGACATTCTCCTATTCACCACCAGAGGTTGAATCGATCGTTTAGTTTCTATTAAAAAGGCCTATACATCAGTTCAGATCTGTAGATAATGGAAAAATAAGACAAAAAATTTTGCAAGTTGTTAAAAAAAAATGTACATTATTTTGAGTTTTGAAAAGACACTGCCTCTCAAAATCGGCTAGCACACTCTGGTAGCGCCAAGTGGCAATATTCAACAGAAAATTTATCGATAATAGCGCCAAATTGGCCAAAAGTGGAAAATTTATAGAGTAAATCAGGAGATGCTAGCACTGTTGCTAGCAACATGTAACGGCGATGTTCCCAATTATCTTTACACAAATTTCTGACGGAACTTGGACGTCTATTTTCTGTGATTTATCTAGGCCCGGAGTGTACGCCAACTCGATGCAGATGGCAGTAGCATCGGTAAGATGATGCAAGATGAACGATGAACTACTGCACCAAAATTCGATGAATACCACCCTTCTTTTTTTGCGTTCACCGATGACGGACGACGGGAACACTCCTTCTCTCGCGGAACGTCAACAAAACCGTGAAATCGCGCATCGAACGAGCTCGGAGCAGTGAAATCGTAAACATTTCACCAGGCTGTTATAAAATCAACGCGATCCGCCGAGTGTTCATAGTTTTCTAATTGTTCTGGTTCTGTACAGGTTTTGAATTGAAATCCTGTAAAGTTACGCTCTCGTTTAGGATGCTGCAGTAGGAAGAGTTTCTAGATGATAGTGAAAGTTGGTTCAAGGGAAAATTTCTATCCGGACAGCAAGCCCAAGTATTACGAAATACAATGTCGCTCGTAATCAATTTCTCGCGTGTGACGCTGGCTGGGCTAGCATTGAGGTCGCCTGCAAACAGGTTTTCGTCTCATCTTCGGTTAAACAACAATGTTCAACTCAGGAATTTGGTTGTTTGCTCCAGTGGGTTTCACAACGCGAATGGGCATCGGAGGAGAATCGATGAGTTTCCGGTGCTACAGCAGCAACAGCAGTATCAGTATCAAAGTTTGAGGTACTTCTTCAGGGATGAAGCACAAAAAGCGCAGCAGATACCGGACAAGAAGCCACCCGCCCAAGATGATGATAGTAAAGTATCACCCATCGAAGGCAGTGGTAGCATGCAACAAGAGGAACCGGCCAAGCTTGGCCTATTTGCACGCTTCAAGAAAATGTATAAGGAGTACTGGTACGTGCTGGTTCCGGTCCATTGCGTGACGTCGGTGTTCTGGTTCGGCGGCTTCTACTATGCGTCGAAGAGCGGCGTAGATGTTATTGCACTGCTCGAATCGATGGGAGTCTCGCAGAAGCTTATCGATCCGGTGCGGGATTCCAGCCTGGGGCACATTGCGGTCGCCTATCTGCTGTACAAGATAGCAACACCCGCGCGGTACACCGTGACGTTGGGTGAGTAAATTGGCGCGATATGCTAGTTGTGCACAAGTATTTTTCTTCTTGGATCGATGAAAATGTTCGTTCCTTTTCTAAATGACTATGTACGATGGCTTCAATGATCTCTATTGCGTTTCCTATAGGTGGTACCACCCTATCTATCAAATACCTCGTCCTTTGGGGGTACATCAAGCCAATCCCCACCAAGGCGCAGCTGGTGCAGATGTACAAGGACAAAAAGGAAGATCTGCAGGAACGGTACGCAGAAAAGAAGCAGGACATCCAGGACCGCAAACAGCAGCTAGCCGATGCGGGCAAAAAGAACCTCGAGGACACGATGAAGACACTGAAAACGAAGAAAGGCGTTGCCGAACAAAAGTAGTACAAACTCCACGGGAGGAGGGATTGTGTTCGTTCTTGTTTACCCTCCTGTCTTGTTGTTGTGTTGTAATTTTTGTAAAAGTCGAATAGGAAAAAGTGCTATTACTTCGTACCATTACTTCGAGAATTGTTGATCATGCTTCGTTTAACATTTATTTTGCCAGAAATAAATCTTTAAAACTGAACGGAGATTTCTTTCACAATGACGATGGCCACACGAATTGCAACAAAGTTTAACATTTATTTCATATCAATCGCTTCAGCCATCAACCGGCGGCGCGTAGAAGCAAAGCGTCGTAATGTATCTTCTAGAAATAGGTAGTTTGTGTCATAGTCTATATAATCGGCAAAACCGCGAATTATCGTACCTAGCTTACTTCATATTGTCGGGCGAGTGATAGCTACCGATTGCAGTCAACAGATTAGTACTACTACATTTAGGTGCATGCGGCGCAGTAACTAAGTCGTCGGTCGATTGTGTTGGAGGATTTGCGCCAGCACGATCAGAGCGAAGGAAGAGATTATGTAGACCCCACCCGGTATCGAACATCGGACCGAGTGCTCCGGATCTAAGGGAAATGTTTCCATCATTTAGATGAGAAAAAAGAGACGATCGGTCTAAAACTTACCTAGCTCGTCATGTTGAAATTTGGAAAGATCCGTCTCCGAGACGGAATCAAAGTTCAAGCACCGATCTACCGCAATTTTCCACTTACGGAATTTCATATCTCGTTCTGGAAATCAAAAATATCCAAATCCAATTAAAAATCGGGACGCAATTCAATAACACTTACGACTAGAGTTAAGTGCCGGCGTGTAGTAATCGGTCGGCGGAATGCAACTGGCTCGGAACTCGTCCAATGTGAGGATCTCCATGGCCAATCCGGCGGCCAGCATCGTTCCGAGACAAGCGGGTGTTGAAGTTTGGGGCCGTTCGATGCTCACCCCGCATAAATCGGCCAACATCTGCATCAGGAATGGTTTCTCGCTGAGATCTCCGCCGGCTACTAGCTTCGTAACCGCCGGCCACGTTCGACAGTCTTTTTTCAAGGATTCTAGAATTTCCCGCACCTGGAAGCAGATGGCTTCGTAGGCGGAAAACATAATCTGTTGTGCCGTCGTCTGCAGTGTCAACCCAAACAGCATCCCTCGCGCCTTGTACCGCCAATAGGGCGTGTAGTAACCACTGAAAGCGGGAACCAGGATTACTTCGTAGTTCGGATTTTTGAACTTTCCCGCCTCCTTCTGGAAAGCACCGAAGGAAGAACTCATCGAGCAGATGGACGATAGAATGGCCGAAGGCCCTCCGGGATCCCCGAGGAAACTCTGCGTCAACGACCCATTCTGGTTTGGATCGTTCGGTAGCTGGAGATTTTCTCGCATCCAATCGAGCGAACTTCCCGCGTGGGGAATGGCACCTTCCAAAGCGTAAAATGTTTCCGCATTCGGACCCAACTTGAAGGCCACCGTCGAGAGAAGGCCATTGTCCGAATCGATAATTTCCTGAGCCGTGTTGAACAAAAGAAAAGATCCTTCGTCTATGTTACAGGTTAGCTGCCCTGCACTGAGACACATCTGACCCACCAGGGCCGCTTGCTGGTCGCCAATGCACTGCAAAAGAATTCCCTTCAATTCTCACACACTGCTTAAAATCTAACATTATCCAATACTCACACTAGCAATCGGAATCCCCCTCAACGGTCCCTCGCTAATGTATCCGTAAATCTCCGAGCAGCTTCTGATTTGCGGTAGAATATCCTGCGATATCTTGAAAAAATTGCACAACCTGGCGTCCCACTGCAATTCCTCCAGGTTCATCAGCATCGTTCTCGAGGCATTCGTCACATCCGTCACGTGTAGCCCTCCGTTCACCCCGCCGGTCAAATTCCACACCACCCAGCTATCCAGCGTACCGAACAGAACCTCTTTCCCTTCAATTCCCTCCACCTTGTCCAACATCCAGCGAACCTTCACTGCACTGAAGCAATTGGCAAACGGCAATCCACAGACCGCCTTCAGGAAGTTAATTTTCCCTTTCACCCTGGCCAGCATCCCTCCGACTACGGCAGAAGTCCTGGTATCACACCATCCAATAGCATTACATAACGCCTGCCCGCTCTGCCGATCCCAAAGGACACTCGTCTCGCGCTGATTGCACACCCCAACGGCTACCATGTCGCGCAGATCGATTTCCAGCAGCTCCAGATTCTGCACCGCACGTTCGATACAATCCCGTACCGAATGCCAGATCCGGGCCGGATCAAACTCGACCCAGCCGGAGTGGGGCGAAATCGGCTCCAGGGGTTCCTCATGACAGGTCAGTATTTCGGCGTTTTTCGCTGCATATATCTGCAATCAGATGCATACAAAACATGTTTCGCAATCAAATCGATAAGACCTTGAAGAAAATGCTTACCAGGAATTTACAGCTGGAGTGACCCACGTTCAAGACCCCGATGAGGGAGCCGAACTTGCTGCGGGATGGTCCGTTAATCATCGTGGTGCGTTTCTGTTTGTGCCTCACTCCAGTTGAACATGCATGGTCAGTTAAAAGACAACCGAGATGAAAGGATAGCAATTTTGACTGAACCGACGATTCGCGTTGACAAAAATAGGATAATGACTTCACAGCATCGTGTTTTTGCGTGAAAACAATGGGAAAATTGCAGCCCCGGTGGGAGGAGAAACCCAATCGATGGCAATGTTTTGATGCGATTTTTGACTGCTCGAGATGAAGACTGACAGCCGACTTACGGTATCCGATGAACGCCAGAGTGAACCGAGTGAACACAGGCTGAATTATTCATGTACTCAAAAAATTTCATCTTACCGACACTACTGCCATCTGCGTCAAGCTGGCACGGTGAGAAACAAAATGTAAAAAGGATCATTTTCACGCTATATCTAAACTACCCAAATTTGAGTAGGATCAGACACCCTCTTCTTCCTCAATTTGCGAGTGACAATAGGCGAATCCAATAGGCTCTTTTCATGCACCATCAATGTAGAGTGCGCTAGTCGATTTTGAAAGGAAATGTCATGCAATCCATTTGTTTACATCATAATGACGATTTTCAAAACTCGAAACAATGTACATTCTATTGCACAACTTAAAAATTTCCATCGGGAGTGGTCGTATTTTTTGTATTTTCTTCAGAGCTGAACTGATTTCCAGCAGAAATAGCCACACATTAAAAATCCGGAAGATCATAACCGCTGGGACAATTTAATAAATCTTAATTTTTCTCATCAAAAATATATGGAAGCACCAGCCGGATCACTGCAAACCCGATACAGAAAACAAAATATTCCACGTGGATGATGATTTCAAGCACCTGCGGTGGATAAATTAATCAGGAAAGTTGAAAATATTGTCCTCTTCCTATGCTTCACGGTGAAAATTTCCATCCTCATCACTCTTTTGAGGGTTCCCCTATTAACCGCCAGAGGCTGAAATGATCGCTTAGTTTCTATTGGATTCGCCTATAGAAACTAAGCAATTGTTTCAGCCTCTGGCGGTGAATAGGGGAACCATCAAAAGAGTGATGAGTGTGGAAATTTTCACCGTGAAGCATAGGAAGAGGAATATATTTTCACCTTTCCTGATTAATTTATCCACCGCAGGTGCTTGAAATCATCATCCACGTGGAATATTTTGTTTTCTGTATCGGGTTTGCAGTGATCCGGCTAGTGCTTCCAGGCCTGCTGCTCTACATTGATGGTGCATGAAAAGAGCCTATATTTAGAGCATCTTCCCCATACGATGCGGAAGAAAGTTTAGCTAAAATCAGCGAATGAGTTGTACCACAGACAACAGACGTTCAAGTTCGGTCAGAAACTTGTGTAAAGTTAAGTGGAAACGTCGCCGTTACGTAGCGCTACCATCTCCTGATTTCCTCTATAAATTTATCACTTTGAACCAATTTGGCGCTGAATGGAGGCGAACCAGCCTCAGGCTGAAAGCCTCCTTAAAGATAAATCAATCAATCAACCAATTTGGCGCTAGTATCGATAAATTTTCTGTTGAAAATTGCCACTTGGCGCTACCAGCACTTACTGTCTAGTGTAAGTTTTGCAACGCCAGCGCCATCATGTTGTCATAGAGGGTTTTTAAGTGAGGAAGTCGCCGTTAGTGGCGCTTAAGTCGAATAGGAATCTTTACACAAGTTTTTAGAGAAATTTTGTTAGAGCCTCAACGTCTGTTCACTGTGGTTTATCCGTAGGACGAAGAAAATCTAATTGCGTTTCAATGCGTTAGGACGGAATTGAAACTCGTAGAACGAATTTAGAATAAAGAAGCAGTATTAGATTTTAAACAATATCTCTACATTTTGTGACTCTTTATCGAATCCAACGGTAGGTATGGAAAGGTGAATACATTTAGAAGACATCTTTGTCAAAAACTACTCATTTTTTGTTCAAACCCGTTCAAAAAAGAGAGGTAAAGCGCGGCTTGTGCTTAGTAGGACGGAAATTTGATAAAAACCCTATGTGCTGAAAATAGCTGGCAACCCAACAAACAATTTTAGCTGCAGGTTAACTTATACAGGCAAAAATTAGCTGCATAAGGCAAATTTTTGGCTGTATAAGCTAATCTGCAGCTAAAATTGTTTGTTGGGAATGTCTTTACATGGCCGTGGGGATACAAAGAGAAAGTCGACAAAGAGAATCTGTCAATGTTACTTAGGACTTAATGCAATGTTCAGCTTGATTTATTAAATTATTTGGAATAACTGGAAGTCACACATGTTGAGTATGAAAACAAAAAAAAAATAAATACAATCAAATATGATAGTAATGTCATATAGAACAGACGTTGATTTTTTTTTTTTCTTTATTATAGAGATTTTTAGCCATATGGCTAGTTCATCTCTTAAACAGACGTTGAGACTCGAACTAAATTTCTGTAAAAACTTGTGTAAAGATTTCTATTCAATATAAGCGCCACCAACGCCGACTTCCCCACTTAACAACTCTCTTTTACAACATGATGGCGCTGGCGTTGCACAACTTACACTATACACTAAGTGCCGGTAGCGCCAAGCGTGAACCGAAAATGTATCGATACTAGCGCCAAATTGGTCGAAAGTGGAAAATTTATAAAGGAAATCAGGAGATGCTAGTGCCACGTAACGGCGACGTTCCCACTTATCTTTACACAACTTTCTGGTGGAAGTTGGACGACTGTTCTATGTGGTAACGTGAAAAGTGTTTATGCAAATGCAAATACACGTACAATCAAATTGGTGAAAGAGGGGTTGAGACTTTGTTCTCAGTAATAAATTAAATACTTACACAAAATTACAGAAAAGGTAAAACTGGCCATGCGACACCTAGTTTTCAGATTTGCAATTACAAAACTGATAATGTACTAAAAAATATTTCATACGATTTGACAGGTAGCAAAACGTCATTATCATTTTTCACATCATTTCCATCTGCGAGTCCATCTGGTCGACCGTCACTTAAATTCATTCTCGATTTCCGGTCTGTAGACGTCTCCTCAATTGATAACTTTGTCAACCAGTTTTGGCGTGACTTTCTACCAGCGATTTCTCAAAACTGGACCAACTAATTATTATTTTTTTCATCAAACACACAAATGCTGGCTACTTTTATCGAGGTTCTAGAAGAAAAAATCTCAAAATAATGTTTTATTACAAAGTTTGAGTGGTAGCAAACGTCATTTTAACTGCTCGAATGAAGTGGTTAATTCTGATAATATTCACATTTAAGGGAATTTGACAGCGTTTCCCACTTTTTCTTAAACCGGAAACCGTCATGTTGGATTTCAAAATGGCGTCGGACATCGATTTCTGGTCGTTAGACCACCGACAAACCGACATGACACTTAATTCTGACTTGTGCCCGAAAACCGTAAACGGCCGATTTAAATGTGCAGTGATCCGAACTTTAACAGTTACCATACCATACGATTTTTTGATCTAGATCAAAATAATTTGTCCACAATAGATCAGACACGAACCAATTCATAACTTATGGCCGGAGATGAACCAGCCTGCGGCTGAAAATCTCCTAAATAGAGATAATAATAATAATTAATAACTTATGCATGCGGGTTCATGGCTCAGCTAAATATTTCTCGCGAACACGGAGCCAGATGTCAGTAGTGTGCTTTGGTCAGAAAATTTGTTGTTTTTGCTATGGTCATTCATGTCGGTTTGTTGGTGGCTAGACGACATCGCAATTCCGAGAATACGCATTTGACAGTATTTCCCACTTTTTCCGAAACCGGGAGCCGCCATCTTGGGTTTCAAAATGGCGTCGGACATCGTATTACCATAGAGGTAACTCTAAGACCACTGGGTCCCGAAGAAAATCATTATTATTTTTGGCTCACTCAGTACCAGAACAACGGTCCCAAGCAGTCCCAAGCTATTTCACTCACCCCTGCATGTTCTGCATGAATCCACACACCCCTGATGTTATCTGTCAAACTTTCATAGCGAATCAAAACAAACATAGTGTAGCAATAGAATTTCAACTAGAATAGGGTACGTTAATCGTTTGCTTGGGACCAATAGGCTACTAAAGTGGTGAGCCAATTTAAAATCGTTAGTTTCGTATTGATTGTTGGTATTACGGTCTTTAGACGTCATGCCATTTCCGAAAATATCCTAGAAAACATCCATATTTAAGGGTATTTGACAGTATTTCCCACTTTTTCTGAAACAGAACGCTCCCATCTTGAATTTCAAAATGGCGTCGGACATTGAATTACGGTCTTTAGACGTCACCCTGATTCCGAAAATATCCATATTTAAGCTCGTATTTAAGGGTATTCGACAGTATTCCCCACTTTTTCTGAAGCCGGAAGCCGCCATATAGAATTTCGAAATAGTGTCGAACATAGATTTCCGGTCTTTAGACGTCATGCCGATTCCGGAAATATATATATATTGAAGCGAAATTCCCACTCTTTCTGAAATCTGGCAACCGTGTTAGAATGGATGGATTCTTCTCGGGATTCTTGTCGTGTGATCCTTTTTAAATTTTGGTTCGTTGACGAAAGAAAAGAGACAGTACCCATACATTCGGACATGAACGAAGATGTTTGCCTTGGGGTGGTATAAAGTAAAGATACTGAATTGGGTAAAGACACAGAGAACAGACGTTCAAGTTCGGTCAGAAACTTGTGTAAAGTTAAGTGGAAACGTCGCCGTTACGTAGCGCTAGTATCATAGAGGTAACTCTAAGACCACTGGGTCCCGAAGAAAATCATTATGTTATGTTATCTGTCAAACTTTCATAGCGAATCAAAACAAACATAGTGTAGTAATAGAATTTCAACTAGAATAGGGTACGTTAATCGTTTGCTTGGGACCAATAGGCTACTAAAGTGGTGAGCCAATTTAAAATCGTTAGTTCCGTATTGATTGTTGCTAGTATCTTCTGTTTTCCTCTATAAATTTATCACTTTCGACCCATTTGGCGCTAGTATTGATACATTATCTGTTGAAAATTGCCGCTTGGCGCTACCAGCACTTAGTGTCTAGTGTAAGTTTTGCAACGCCAGCGCCATCATGTTGTCAAAGAGGGGTTTTAAGTGGGGAAGTCACCGTTAGTGGTGCTTAAGTCAAATAGGAATCTTTACACAAGTTTTTAGAGAAATTTAGTTCGAGCCTCAACGTCTGTTCTCTGTGGTAAAGAGGCGATATCTTATATATTTGACAGGTCTTCTGCTCGATT